ATGAGGACGACGGCCACGACAGCCACGGTGCGGGGGCTCATTGCTGCTGCTGTCGTCTGTGGGAAATGCCTCTGCAGATAAGAGAGTGGTCTGAGGAAGAAAAGGAGGGTGTAGGGAAATAACCCGCCAGAGCCGACGGCAGATGCCAGCGGAAAACAAAAAAAAGGACGCGGTCGGTCCGCCTCAGCGAGCCGCCGCCCACGCACAACCCCTCGCGGGGCCAACGGTGAAGAGGGAGGAATATATTCTCCTTGGCGCCTGCCGTCCCATTCAGCAGAAATAAATGCGCTGAAGAAATCAAGCAAACAAACACATCTTATGCATATATTATATACCAATGCGGAGGCGGCCACACACACACACACACAAACATACAAGCATTGGAAGAAAATCTGGCGCAAGACAGTCGCAATGCACCACTCCGCAGCGCCCAAACGATCGCGCTCTGCTCACAACAGGTCCACGGTGCACCAGGCCACGGCGCACATGAGCAGCCACGCCGAACAGGTGGCGTAATAATAATAAATGCCGAATATCCACACCGCTTTCGCAGCAATCAACTCCTCAGGCAGCGTCCGAGGGGAAAGAAACAGGGCGCCCTCCCAGCCCATCCCCCAGCATCCGCATCAACGCACTCGTGTGCTGCACCATCCAATGTGCTCGCAATGATGACCAACAACTGGACGAGGGGGCGCGCACTTCATCCTCGCCACGGCGTACCTCAAAGCACCTTTTTCGGAGCGGCGCTATCGCGGAGGCCACACAAAGACAGCCCTCCTTCTAGGGAGATTGCGCGTCTTGGGAGTGTCGTCCGCCAGAGATGCACACAAGCTGCCCACAGAGAGCAGCACCGTGCACTGTGAGTGGCCAAAGTGGCTCGCAGAGGCGCGGACGGCACTTTGCCCACAGCAGAACACACCACAGCCGTGCGTGCCCAAACGCCGCGGCAGCAGAAGCGGCGCAATGAAGACCCACACACCACCTGTCCTCGCTCCCCTTCCCCTCAAGATGCACGGCAGTGATGGCTGCTGCGTTTCCACGCACGTGTCTGCTCTTGTTGGCGAGGGAGAGGAGCTGTCTCGTCTTCCGCGGTGATCACCCACGCAACCCACGTGGTGCTGCGGGAAAACCACCACCGCCGCCGCCTCCACCATGCCGTCCACGACCGCCCCGATGTGTGTGAGGGAGAGAGAGGACACGCGGACAAAAGGAAGGTGAAAAAACATGCGCTGGCAGCATCCACCACAGCAAGGAAGGTGCGGGCCACCTCGCAGTTAGTAGGACACCCGCGACACCCTGATGGCATGGGCGACGAGCTCTTCCTCAGTCATTTCTCCAATGGGCTTGGAGAGGGGCACCAGGCCCTGCTGCAGCTGTGCCCGCAGCCGCACGTAGAAGTTGCTCGCCCGGGACTCGGTGTCGGGCTGTGGGCGAATCCCACCCAGCGGCCTCAGTCCGAAGGCCCGGCAGACCTCATTGCATTCGTGCCGCAAAACGTACTTTTCGATGCCTGCGGGCCCCATGTTTCCCAGACCCAGTCCCTTGCCGTCCTCCGTATGTATTTGCGGGTCTGTGAAGAGGTCGTTGACGCCCCGAAGGTCACACAACAACATGGACCCTCCGCTCTCCACGAGGGTGAAGTGAGAAAAGGCCTCCGCAAGGTGAAACATGCGTGTGCGGTGCTGCACCTCCGAGGGCGTACGGAAGTGCTTATCGTCCTGATAGGTGTCGCCAAAGTTGCTGTTGTACTTGGTGAAGTGGCCGTGCAGCCTGGGCTCCATAACGAACATGACCTCGCCTGTGTCAGTGGTTCTGTAAGAAAAAAAAACCATGCTGCCCATCCCGATGCTCCGCCGGAATGTTCTGCTTCGGAGTGCGCAGCACCTGGCACTGCAGGAAGGAAACATGGGGCCGCTCGATGCCGGTAAATGTGGCTTTGTTGAAGCTCGTGGCAAACTGCTCGCACATGCACTGCGCCTCCCCCTCGCTGAAATAGTCCTTTTCGACCACGTCGGAGATGTTCCGCAGAAACAGCTTCGCAACGCACTGTGTCCTGCCGCCGTCCTCCTCCACCTCCTCCACGTCGTAGCAGACACGCATACCGCCCCTGGCGGACGCCTGAAGTGGCGCCAGAACCCGCACATTCGTACCTGTCGCCACCCACTCCATCCACCGGAAGCTAAACACGTACTTCACTGCCCCACAGACGCAGGGGCCGCCCCCCTTCTTTGCCGAAGCGGCCGCTCACGCGGCCTGCCCGTCATATACACACAGTGCTAGCTTGCCCCGCTGGCTGGCCGCAGCAGAGCAGCACACACAACGGCAGGAAAAAGGGACAGAATTCACACACATGCAAGAAAACGGCGGCAGCTCACGCACCGGAGCGGCACAAGGTAACAGAAAAGAAAGTGAAGCCCCAGCAACGGCAGAAAATTTTTGTTTCCGTAAAGTGCAATATATTCACCCAGCCCCCACCTCGCACACTCAACCACACACACAGCTGGAAGCAGCAGGCACCCCTTCACCGCGGACCATCACTAACAAGCTTCCGCTGAGCAGTTTCATTAAAAAATGAAAAAAAATGAAAAAATAGAAAAAAAAATAGAAAAAAAA